TAATAAGATATCTTTTACTTTCATTTGTTCGTCACTTTCTGAAAGTTAGATTGTGCCCCCCTAGTTTTGAAAATCTGCGTCCGCCCCTGCCCGCAGTCTTCCCCAAATTCATCGGCCGACCGATCGTCCACATTTTCTATCCCTCCTGATAATTTTCGTGGACACGTTTACTCTGCGTCTGATTCAGCAATAAATCGCACTGATTTCTTTCAAGATCATTGTCATGGTATGCTCTGTTACAATTATTTTATTATTATTTTTAGTATTGATATTATTACGCATATGCTTATGTTTCATTCTCTTCATGGATTTATTGAGATATCGTGCTTCCATTTATTCGTGTGTAAATTACGATTGCATGGATAATGGGAATCGGAAAATTATGAAATTGCCCACTAATCATTGAAATGGAATTGAAATAAGGTAATTTTATTAATCTTTAATGCATGTTATGGAGATTTCATTTGGGGTTTGATTGAATTTTTATTTCTTTTAGAAGAGCCTAGTTCATTTATGTTTAAATAATTGAGGGTGGAGATTTGTTCGGGGAACTAAATTGTGATTTTGATTGGCAGAACCATGAAATTAGGAGTGTGTGTGATTAATTTTATTTTTCATGGAAAATATCATTTTTTTAAATTCAAATTCTTACTTTTAGAGTGTTTGACTGTCAATTTTTTTTTTTCAAATTTTGATCACATAACCGTATTTTCCTCCAAAATAATGAAAATATTTCTCTTTATTTCAAGTAATTCATTATTTATTTTCTTCATCTTATCTACTCATCAATAAAAAAATGGATAAGTATAATATTTTTTAGATTGAAAATTAAATAAATCAAACACATTTAATTAATAATTTACATATTTTTCATGCAAATAACATACTCGCAATCAAACAACCCTAAAAGTAAATTGCATGAGTATTATGAGTCTGTTTGAGCCCCATTTTTTTTTAGAAGAATGCATTTTGAAATTGTGATTTGATGGAGAATGTATGGTTGAAAATAAGATAGAGAGATACATTTTGAAAATAATGAGTACCAAGTAAGGGCTGTGTTTTGTTCATTTCTTGAAAGAAACCTGCATCTTAAAGGTAAATTTCAAGGTGAAGTTGATGGATGATTGAAACTTCATTGTTAGGGCACGATTTTGTTTTTTTTCTTCTTTTTGTATTTATTTCTTGCTTATCCAAGTTCACGGGCAAATTTATCTCTTTACACTTAAATCAACGGTTTTCTTTTTTTTTCATTTTTTTTTGGATGGAAACAACAGTAATGACCATTTGTGCCTAAGAAATGAAATGATGAGAAACTTAATTCCAAGAACAATTGAAGGTTGGGGCTCGACGCACTGACGAAGCCGTAGAAGGTTGGGGCATGTACTTAACTTTAAGTACGGGGATAGTTAAATCTCGGATTAAAATCTTGACGACGTAGAGTTACGATATTGGTTCACCATTGAAGATGGATTTCAAGTCTCAAAATTCTCGACTACTTTAAGACGCATTATTCCTTTAAACTATGTTCGGTACCTAGTTCTTATCGCTTAACAGGGTCGAACCTTACAAGTTACAAGAAATTTAAGTTTTATTTCTTGTTTATTTATTACTTTCTACTTTAGTACGATTCAGTACAGCTTATTACAAAACAAGGTTAGTGAAATTTATCTTGTGATACTGTCGTTGTTTTTCTGATTAACATTGATCTTGAAGGTGGTAATGACACGTCAAATATATGGTCAAGACACGATTTTGATGATGGCGTTTCTCAAGTAAAAGCAACTAAATCTGAAGGAAAAGTTGCCAAAGTGGAGCAATCTGAGGTAAAATCAGTACTTTTAAAACCACTTTCTGCTGCTAAATCCAGAAATGAAGTAGAATCATCACCTGTGACTACAACAGTCTCCGCGGCATCGTATAATTCAAAGGCAAAGCCACTTCTAAAACCATTTGGCAATTTTTTTAGTTCATTAAATCCGAGAGAAATAAATACCTGCATCATCACCTCGGAGAAATAAATACCTGCTTTCTATTCTATCGCAATAGCAATTCTGGAAGTTATATCGCATGTTAATCTTCCTCGTAAAGTGGTGAAGTCAAAGAGCCTTATTGCTTGGAGGCCTCTTCATGTAGTTTTGCTAACTGATTTGATGATAGTAGCTGCTCGACTGGCACTCTACGTGCAATGAGGTTCAGAGAAGGCGGAACAAGATAATTAACAAAGATTTCAGGAAGACAGGTATAACTGGGAATCAGCCATGAAGTTGTTGGAATTCGGTTTGGTATTGCATCAGACAGTTCGAGCTATATTTATTGATTGCAGTTTTTACCTGGCGATCATGGTTTGTGGCCTTTCTCTACTGTAGATACACTTACTGCATTCATGAGCGCAGGCTCGTGGGTTCGCTTTGCTCTGGTAAGTGAGGCATTAAATAGTTTTGCTTCATTCTATTTTATGTACTTATCTCAAACAGTCAGAGTAATTTACTTATACTCAATTTTGATCAAATAAAAAGACTATATATTTCAAAAATTACTCATACACTCATATGTAAATTTTTGGAGCGTAGCCAAACATGCACCAAATTCAAGAGTTCCTGTCATATAACTTCCGTTCATCAGGCTCCTTGGCATAATTCAGTTCAGTAGGAATGCAGATCAATATAGTCACAGACAAGTCATAAAATTACACATATAGCCGTGTATTTCCAAGTCTCTAAATCTCATAAAGATGGATAAAATGAACTCGATAAGAAATACAGAGATTTAAAATAGACATCAATCACCACACGTAAGCTCAATTAAGTAAAACAAGTGTTTTTGCCTACAATTGCTAAAGACGCTACAAAACATTTCTTCCATAGCTTAGAATTGCCCTTGCAAACTCAAAAACCACAAGCTGCAGTGAATATAGCTTGTTGTATGATAACATCATCTTGAAATTGCAAGTAAATTATATACTACTTATCTGGCTTTTCAGGCTCCTCTGTTTCAGGATTTTCCTCCTCTTCCTCTTTCTTTTCTTCTTCTTCTTCCTCATCTTCTTCAGGAGGATCAGCTGGCAATGGAGGTGGTAATGGAGTTTTCATTGGGCTGAATTGGGGAAAGATGTCTGGTCTCCTTCCAGGCTTTGGCCTCTCCCACTCCTGCAAGATTGTGTTAACAATAAGCAATGCATTTTAACAAACAGCATTACCACAATTACAACATAAAGATTTCATGTATACGACAGGTTCTCCTCGGGATTTAAGTATCCACATCGGCATGTCCATGAAGATTTTACACCTTTTCTTCCCCATCGTGCGAGGAATACTTCGAGGTAGCATTGTCATGAGAAAGAAGCAATCACCAGGGCAACTAAATTCCACAAGGTGTTGGTGGATTTAGTCTCTCTATTATTGAATATTATCTGGGTATAAATTAATCATATTGCAGATGATTGCAAGAGCAACTTATGATCTAAAAGAATATACATATACATGCATATAGGTCCCATTTGAAGACTTTCATAAATAACTTAAATTACTTTAAAGAAAAAAATTGTTTGGAGTATCCTAAAAAGTCTGATGTTCCACGTATAAGAATGTTCAAGTTCTAGCAAATAGTTTTTTCAGGAAACTGAAGTAATTTGGTCTGCTAATTGATTTTCAGCTTCGCGACTTCCGTTTTGTATGAGAGTGGATGCACTTTCTTCTCAACTCACTGACCACTACTCTACTACGGGTTAATGAACTCTTGAAAAATGCAGCATAAGAAAGGAAGAAGCTTCACCTAGTCAGCTGGGAAACTATATGCTCCCCCTCGTTCCCTTCTCTGATCTATTCAAGGTGAGAAGTGCCATTGTTCAGAATTTTCCCAAATATGTCTTAGAAGTCTTACGAAAGTTTATTACATCTAAACTAGATTAATGGCATATATTTTCTTAGGGTGTAACATTGATGAACCCCTACATTCCCTAAACAGTTGAGTAAATCAAAACCATAACCGAAAGTTGTAAATATAGAAACTTGCAATATTCTAATATAGGACCATCTTCAACAACAAGAAAAACGCATTCTATAGGCCATCAAAACTTTTAAAGCAACCATTCCCCATGGTCACTAGGCCAATCTATGGGATCAATAGCTGATCTTCTATTACAAAATTGTGAAGCTCCCCATGACTAGCAACACAGTTAAATTCCTAAGTCCCAAGTTTATGGCGCCATTGTAGTAGCAAGACCAATCCTCGAGTGCTGTGTAGTCCAGGATCTTCCCATTTATGATCAATCAAATTAAATTCTCTAGTAACAAAAATGCATACATGGTACATGCAAGAGGACTGCAGTCGGGGAAGGGGGAACTACAATTGTAACGATTCCCTGCTAACCTAACTGCTTGTGTACCTCAAAGTTGGTAGCTAAATGGAGCATTATCCTTGATAAGCTTAAACAGAAATGTAACGGCCTAACGGGTTATCCATTTCATTAAAGAGCTATCTTGAATTTTAAATTATATGCTACCAACAATAAAATCAAAATTAAGTAAAAAATACATAAGTAAGCTTTTGTTTCCAAACACGTTTTTCTTACAAGGAAAAAAAATTACTTAGTGTAGAAGTAGTATCTCTTCAATTTTAAGTAATTTATCCCCGGTTCGGTTGGGATTAAAATCGATTTTTTTGTAGATTTTGAAAAAAGTTGACAATGGTGTGGTTAAAAAGTGAGTTTGAGAAAAAAAAGAGAGTTTTAAGAGGGGGGGGGGGGCCAAACGGGAGCTTAAAGAATAAAAAAGAACGTACTTATAAGTAAAAGTTTAATCCAATGTTTCATGTTGGAAGCACACAATCTTCTTCATAGCCACTCAATCAACATCAACTAGCTGTTATTTGATTAATCGAATGCAAAACTGAACTTTTATCAACACAAACAGTTAAAGACAAAACAAAAGTAGAAACAAGGTCTGAGTATTGCTTCTAAAAATTACACAAATCCTGCTATTCCTATAGGAATGAAATTATCTAAAAATTTTCCACCCTCCATCTGTTCTCCCAATTTTATCCGCAAAAAAAGCGTGACATTTACAGAAAATAGTTTAAATAAACAAATAAAATTAAAGAATGATTAAGAAAGAGCAGAATCCAGGCACTCACAATAGGAAAATCAAGGGGAGAACGGCGAGTCATTCTCTCCTCTTCGGGAGCCATACAAACAACCAAAGACCTACTTCCCCCACGAGTCAAATTCAGAGAGCGAGTTATCCTGAAAGGCGGCAGGAGAGCGTGAGTCTTCGACGACGTCGTCCATTTAGAGGATGTGGTTGAAGTCGGGGAGGAAACCAAAAACGTCTTTCTTTTTGGAGTAGAAGTTGATAGAGAGAAGGGGAGGGACATCAAAGCCATTCAGATAGGCGGCGCGTGAGATTGCCGGGGTGTTCGATTGGTCAAAACGCCCAAATATCCAATTATGCTCCTTAGCTCACCACCGCCTCAGAGGCTGAGAGGAGAGAGAGTCACGGCTCTTGAGCCCAATATTGATGACGGAGCATAAACTGGGCCGCTACCATCAACTTGACGGGTCGATTAAATACAGTTAACTGGGTTGGGCTTTGCTTTATGGCACTTGGTAGAGAATATTGGCACAAATAGCACTAACTGCCAGTTTGATTCTCATTAACTGGAAAAAAAAAAAAGTTTTGAACAATATTTTTAAGAGAATGTATGGTTAAAAAGTAGAAATTTTTTTTGTCATACGTGCAAAATATTTTATTCTGTGAATATGTAGTTAAAAATGATCTTGTAATAAACAATGAAATAAATTAATTGGTGGCAAAGAGGCACTAAATTGCACAAAAAATTATTGAAACCATGTTATGTATACTTCAGTTTTTCCACTAGTTTTGATGGATCTAGATCAATATGTTCTTCACCATTAGAGAGTTTCTTTATGTTAGTTGAGAAATAAATTTTGTATAATTTTAATTTCTTTATTAAAATCTAATTTTTTTGTTATATAAGTAAATGCGAGAGATAGTTTATATGACTCGCATCGTGTTCTTGCATTCGTAATTCTCAATTTTGATAATTGAATCAAAGATAAAGAAAATAAAAATATCAAACGTAAAACTTGTAAACTTTATCACGACGTGTTGATAGCAATCGTGTTTTTAGAATCTACAAGACAATTTTCAGAGTAGATTGTCTTCAAAATGTAATAATTTATCAACCCTTGCTCGGCTTAACTAAAAAGTTGATAAACATTTAAATAAAAATCAACAATTAATTTTAACCACATATTTTATTAATCTACAATTTTTTAATGGCATGTTTCATCAACTTTTATAAAAAAAAAAAATGATTTTTCACAAAAGGAAACGGGACTTAGGTTGAATTTTTCCATTCATAAAAGAAAAAAGCTGCAAGTACATGAGAATATTTACAGATTTTCTACAGAATTTTAATTCCACTCATATGGAAAGGCGGGGTCCACATGAATTAAATATTGCTAAAAAAATCGAGATCCACTTATTGTGTATATTCTGTCCATTTTTTGTATAAAATTCTCTGTACTTGTAGCATTGCTCTTCATAAAATATTTTCAATGAAAGGACAACGCTCACAAGTATATTGTTGATTAATTTGTTGAGGCCCTCCATCATATGAAAATAATAAAATAAAGGGAAAATTGCGGCTGTGGTCCCAAACCTTTCATTTTGTTACAGATTACACCCAAACATTTTATTTTTGCGGCCGAAGTCCCAAACCTTTATATGTAGTTGCAGAGTCGGTCCTAAGCCTTTAATTACATCCATAAAACCGACAGCCAACGTTTTAACAGTAATTTTGACTCGAAAAAATTGCAACGCTGGTCCCCAACCTTTCATTTTGTTGCAAATTACCCAAACCTTTAATTTTTGCTGCCGAAGTCCCAAACCTTTATATATAATTACAGTGTTGGTCTATTTCACGCATTCCGTCCATAAAATCATAAGTCAACGTTGAAACAATAATTTTAACTCAAATAACATCTTAATTGATG